CACCCAGAGCGGCCGGGGACACGGGAATTCCCGCAGCCCCTCCGAGCTCCTCTGGAATGGGTCAGCATCACACGGGATTGGAGCACCCGCCCGCCGCTTGTAACTGTGCATCAGGATTAAGGGTATGGCTAGAAACGGGAGATGACAGGAGGATGCGGTTACAGGGCAGGACCCGGGCAGCTGGTGGCTTTATCACAGGTGACTGCACAAAAGTCACCCTCCCAAGGAAAGGCACAACATTCTTTGGGAAGAAGGCCAGAAACAGTCATAGCCAGCCCTTGTCACGATACTGACATTTCGGTTCACTCCCAACTAATTGGGCAATTTTAGCTCGGAAGGGGAAGCACTGTATTACACAGCACCACCACTTTTCTCACATCCTGGGAAACCTTTGCTCCACAAGCTGGGGGCTAGGTCCAACCCTTCTACAAGCACTGAAGCTGTTGCTCAGGACCAGCCTCAGGTTGGTCAGGGCATCCTTCAGGGCACAGAAGAAGCTCCAGTTTGACCTTATCTTTCAAGTCCTGATTGAGGCTCTGACAAAGTCCTGCTTCTTCTAGAGATCTAAGGAACTGACCTTAGCAAAGCTCTCGGCCCTCACTGGCCCATGGGTGTCAAAACCAAAGAGGTGTCTTAGAGCACCATCTCATCACTAGAGCTTTAAAACAATCAACCCCTTATGTGGTACCTGCCTTTCTCTGTGGATGCATCTTATGCCTTCACCATTCTCCCTTTACATATCATGGCAACTCCTACCTCCCACATGCATTTTATGAATTCCCCAGCATTTTTAGAGCAGCCTTATAAGACACCAAAACCAGCCACACTTACTGCAGCTACTCCCATAAGAAGCTCCTAACCCACACTTTTTGTTTTAATAAACCAAAACACCAAAACTCACACCACAAAACAAACCCCTCACCTTCTCTTTGCTCTGGAATCAGTAAAAAGAGCCAAATACTTCCCCTGGTCTCCTATTTAAGTCCTTCAGCTGTGATGAGGATGGAGGAACTGTTGGCTGATTCCCAGCATCTGGGAGCTGTTTAACCCTAGAGCAGGCTCAGCTGCTATCTAATCCTTAAAGGACCTAATACTGCCACCATCTACATATTTTGCAACTCTCATCATCTATGTCTTTTCAATCCCCTGCAATAGTTCTCCTACCTACTCCCTGAACAATCCTTTTCCATGTCCTCACAGCTCAGCTTTCTCTCCCATGTGTCTTTGCCCATGGCAGAGGGTTGGAACTAGATGATCTTTAATGTCCCTACCAACCCAAACCATTCCATGTCCAGATTGGGCCCCCCTCCAGTACAAGAAACGCATTGCAAAACTGGAGAAAGTTCAGTGAACAGCCACCAAAAGAATCGGGGCTGGAGCATTTGCCCTGTGAGAAGAGGTCGATGGAAATGGGCTTGTTCAGCCTGATGAGAAGGTGGCTTCAGGGGGGCATAAGAGCAGCCTACCAGTTAACAAGCAGGTTACTGAGCAGACAGAGCCAGGCTCCTCACGGTGGTGTGTGGCTTGGAGATGAGGCAGTTGAAAGAAAAGAGGTTGAAACTGGGTACAAGGAAAAATGTATTTACTGTGATGACAAACCCTGGGGCAGGTAGCCTGTGGAGATTGTACATTCTCCACCCTTGGAGGTTTTCAGTGCTAGGCTGGATAAAGCCCTGAGCAACCTAATATGACCTCAGAACTGACCCTGCCGTGAGCAGGAGGTTGGACTAAAGTCCCTTCCAACCTGAACCAGCCTGCCTTCTCTTAGAGAAAAGAGGATGAACTGAAACGGTAACCAAGTCCAGAGATTCCTACCCAGTGAGGCTGTGGGAATCCTGCACCACCACCCTAGGATCATGCCATGGCAGCTAGAAAAGCCTTGTCAAACGCTGTGAATGTCAAGGGAAAAAAGTAGGACAAAGGATTCAAGTGAGTTGCGACAGTGACACGTGTCTGTGCCGGGGGAGGAGGAGGAAGCGGTGGAGCACACAAGCTAAATGGGCCAAGAGCCTGGACACAATGATATATCAGCTGCATCACTAGCAGAGTGAAGCTGTGAGATGGAAATACATCCTTCCCCTCTGCCATGTGCATGGTCCAGTCACAGGAGGGTGCTCAGCTGTGAGCAGCAGCTTCCTTTCAGTCAGAGCAACCATGCGCAAATTTAATTCTTCCATTATTTTAACTGCTGAAGAGGACTGAGGGAACTCAGGGAGCACAGGGCCCTCCTGCTGCTGCTAGGGGCAGGTCTTGGCAGTGGCCAAGATGCTGGGGCAGCTCCTGTCCCAGCCCCTGCTCTCTAGCTAAGGACCCTTCCTCCTCAGGGAGAGAAGAAGCTGTGAAGATGCTCATGTTGTCTAATAGAAGAGACATCTCAAATGTGTCATGACTCACTCACCTTTCAAAGCTGTCAAAAAAAAAATCTCCAAAACCTAACACATCTTAGAAGGTGAAGGAAGGAAATCAAAGGAAAAGCAGTGGCTGAAGGTTTGGTTTCTGGTTTGGTAGGTGCGCGGGAAAGCAGCCAGACACAGATGGGAGCTCAGCCTGGACAGGCTGTGGCCACTCCACACTCCTACCCTGCCCCTGGCATCCATCCATCAGCCCTGCTGGGGGGTGAACATGGTTGAACCCAAGAGCGAACGGGCCCTGCACCAGCAAAGCATCACTGCCGTCTCGGTTAACCGGAGCGATGTGCCCGCGCAGCCAGAAGGACGCATCGCAACAGAAACCCTTTGCTTGGTGTCGTGCTGCCTCTCTTGGCCTCTTCTGGGGAGGAAGGTTTGGGATGTTTCTCCAACTGAGGGAAATCATCTCCTCAAAGGAGATGACTCCCATTTGCCACTCTCCCAGCACAGGTGGAGGAGGTGGTGGTTGGGTCTGTAGAGGTACAGAGGTGATTTTATTTGTTATTTGCACTGAAAGTTTCTGTTCTCTTGTGTTGCGTCCATGTTATCTCAGCCTCCAGAATAAAAAGGATTAGATAGCGGAATATGCTGTGAGATTTTTTGAGGGCTATCTCAGGCATAAAGATCTCCCTCTCTCATTAAAATGTTGCTTTCCATCTTAAAAATGAGGTCTTTTTGCTGCTGTGCTCTGAATATGGTGCTGGTCCAGGGCCGCACAATGTAACAGGATTAACTCAGGTAGGGGAAGACACACGGAGATCATCCTGCTCCAAGCAGGAGGATTGATGAGGAAGGTCCTTCCACTTTCCCAACATGTCCTTCATGACCACTTATCTTCATGCAGGAGGTGCTTCTTGGTCCCCTCAATCTTATCCATGTTCAGGATGTCTTGCTGTTGAGTTCGCTAATGTAACATACGAATTTCAAACCAAACAAGTGCACTTTCCCAGCCTGTTCAATCTGGGACACAGAGAGCGTTAGTCTGCTTCCAAGAAGAGGTGGCAGATTTTGCAAGAATCTAGTAAACTGGGATGGGAGAAGTATCAGGATCAAAGACATTTGTCTAAGCAAAGCTCCAAACCAGCCAATGCAGGGTTTTGCCAGCGCAGTTCAACCATTGGCTGCCTGCCGCCTGCACGCTGCCTGTAAAGTTCCCAAATGACAAAGGATTTGCCAGAATTGGCATCGCAAATGTGAATTATCAGAACAGAAGCCAGCTTTAGGTGTGCTGAGCACATTGTAAGGCCTCTCTCTGTTTAGGTATTGCGCTCCAATTGAGTTCAAAGCGTGGATTGTGGCATGATAGGCAAACACTCAAGCTCTGTCCAAACAAGGTCCAGGGGTTTAGATGCACAGCGTTTAGGCTCTTGCAAAATATGTTGACCCCTGAGGCTCATGATAAAATCTAAAGCTCCCTTTGAAAGTTAAGTGTTTAACATGAAGGAGCTGGTGTCCCATTGATCTGCTGCCAATGTTTTAACAAGGGGATGCCACAAGTATTTGCCCGTGTGAATTTTGCACAGTGAATGGGGAGAGACTGTGGAATTAATTTTTTCATGTTTGCACAAAGAAGGATTTTCCAGCCAGCATCAAGAAGAGAGAGGGCAGCGGTGTGAAAAATAAAGAAAGGAATAATGTGCATTAAAATTATAAATAAATACAAATCCTTGTGCCTATAAAATCAAGGCGTGTGTATGATTCAGGGAGAGCTTATCCTAGAGGTGGGGAGAGGAAGCCCACAGCTTTTCTCCTCCAGGGAATATTTTTTTTTAATTATTGACACTTTAGGCAATCTGGTGCTCTTCTAAATATAATTTTATTAGCATGAGAAGCCACTTGGCAGCAGGAAACTAATGCTGGTAAATTCACAGTTTTCAAGACAAAGCGTTCTCTTAGAAGGAAGAAGAAAGAGACTGATTTGGAAAGACGAGCCTCGCAGCTTCTGCCTGAAACCAGCCTCCACCTGCCATCTTCTTGTTGCAGGCTTAAATGGAGCAATATTCCCTAGCCTCAGCTTGTTTGTCTCTGGTTTCCCAAGGAGATGAGGCATATGCAGTCACGCTGTTCACCAGCTCTCCTGTCACCCTCCCACAATAACCTCCAAGAGAGGAAGAAACATGCCTATGGAGGCTGGGTAAGGAATAAAGGCGCCTGCTATCACCCACCCCCTGGGATGGGGGGAATTGGGTAGGACCCCATGAGCAGTTGCACAGCTTGGCTACCTGGGGGGCATGGGCCAATTTTCCAGGCAGGATGGAGAGAGAAGAGCTATGGCTGCTGGGGACGGGAGGACACAGCCCACGGGAGCCGTGGGAATCGCCCCTCCGGCACAGGGAGCGCCTTGCTTCCCGGGAGGAGGGTGATGTAATAGCACAGTATAGCAAAGCCATGCATTAGGCTTTAGAACGGCTATATCAAAGTGCTTTTCTGGGTATTATGGAAAAAGGAATCCAGCCAAAGAATCGTGCTGAGTGTTATTTTATTGAGCAGAGACAGCGGAGATGAGGGCAAGCTGCTCCCGTGTCCATGCACAGGCGTCTTCGGCCACTGCTGACGGGGGCTTAGCTGGTGCTGCTCGGGGACAGTGAGGACTCAGCATTTCCCCAGGTGCTTCAATCTTATCTTCCCTCCACTTCTCCTGTAAAAGGAACAAGACAGACTTAGACAAAGCAGTGTATGACAGACACAGCAGTGTGGGACAAGGAGCTCATCTGTCCAAACAGGACCATTTGCCTGACTGATGCTAGTGTACGCTGCTGCCTCACAGGGAACATCGAGCCATTTCTCCTCTCCTTGCTCTTCTTTGATTTCCCCTGGGGTAAGGCAGCCTTGAGTGTGCACCAAATGTTATGGACTGCTAAGGAAAACCGATGTTTTGTAAGCACATTCAGTCCAGGGCTGCTCGTTCCTATTGCATCCCCTTTAAAAGGTAACAGAGCTCAGGAAAAGGAGAAACTCAGGTTCTTCCCCTGAGATTTTGTGTCTTGTTCCACGAAGTCCATTCAGACTTTTCAGGAATGAGTTGGCACCGCTCAGCACCCACATTCCTCCAGACACTTGTCAATATCCCAAAGTGTGGGCAGTGAAAGTTGCAGCCTGTGGCATATAGTGGGAATTGTGCATCGATTTAGTGTTTGCAGAAGGTACAGGCGGGATGCAATTGCCTCCCAGGCCCCGTTCTGCCTCTCAGCATGGCAACCAGCAATGTGCAAAGCCTAGAAAGGAATTAAAATTAACTTGCATGCACACAGCTCTGTTCCAAGGAAGAAATATTCCACCTGGCATGATTCAGGGGCTGGTCCATATGAGAGGAGCAGCCTGGATGCAGGGCCTCCCCACTGTGAAGAACATCATTACGTACGTGGAAATTGAGCCAACTCTGTAATTTCGATCCCCTCTGCTTTCACTTACAGCACTGCCTTGCAGAAGGCGCACTTGTTGCCATACGTGATGCCATCAGTGCCACAGTGAGGGTTGGACTCCCTTGTGCAGTACACGCTTCTGTTTACAAACTCTCTACAAATCTGCAAAAGGAATAAGAAAAACATCCTTTCAAGACTCCCATGCTCTCTCTTTCACTTTCCAAATTGGATACGAGGTCACAACTGCTTTTTCTGACAAGAGGACTAAAGCAGCAGGGATGACACTGCCTGTCTACTGAAAGAAAAAGCCCTGTCAGAAATGAGTAGAAGCGATGTTTCAGGGGAATTTTTGCTCTCTGTTTGAGGAGGGAAACTGTAGTCACCTGGGAGAAGCCTTGATCTCCCAAAGACACGAGTGGATTAGCCTAGGCATGTTGGAGAAGAGTCAGCACCGATGCTCTTTCGGGCTTTCGGTGCCAAGTCAGCTCACTGCTGCATGGTTTGTGCATCTTGTGACACCGTGCACTCAGCTTGGGGCTTGCTGAGTTTCTGCCTTCCCAGCAGAAGGGGAAGAAAACGATAGTCTGCAGGGAATTAAAAATGGTACAGGTATTTTGCCTCTGGACAAGCTCCAGCGATGAAGCTCATTTTGGGGGATAAAACACCCTCATTGGTCCATTTGTTTCACGAGAAGATTGGACAGTGGAGCAAAGTGGACAAAAGGGGTGCTGCATACAAACGCAACCCTCTGCAAGCACCCTGGACCTAACTGGGGGAAGCATTTGTTAATCAACCATCCAGTTCCCCGGTCTACTTGCTAATGTGGCCACACGTAACATGCCCTGTACAACGATGAACTCCCCAGAGTGTTGGGACGTCTTGGAAGAACCCATCTGCTCCGAGAAGACACTAAAAACTGTTTACCATGCTCCAAAATCTTGGTTACAAACCCGTTCCTCTAGAAAATGCAGATACAGTAAGCAGAAACAGCTGCACTAACCTCTTCAATGTCTTGACCTGCTACATCTGGAACAAAAAAAAAAAAAAATCAGAGATTTTATACATCAGTGTCATTTTCTGATAGAGGCTGAACTGAAGTCAAAAACCCTTCATGCAAAGCACAGTGAAACATACACCAGGTTTTTCCTACTCTGTCATCGTGTGCAGCAGAGGAGGGGGCAGGAAATACATTTATCTGAATTGCTTTTCAGTATTTTGCTTTTTTGAAAAATGTTACTAAAATACCATGTAATCAGTCATTCAGCTGCTAACTGCATCTCAGACACATAACCCAATCTCCTGGAAGGCAGCCACTCCCGGGGAAGCGAGCTGCCATATCGGATCTGGATCTGCGCTCAACAGAGAGTTTAAAGCTATATTGACTTTGAAGGCTTTTAGGCTCCTGCACCTCTGAACAACGAAAATGGCTGGTACTGCTACAGGTGTGTACCATGGAGAAGGAGACCCCTCGGTCAGCTTTACAGCCACCCTCAGCACGGCACAGCCCAGAGACTCTGCCAGAACAACTTCATCTGGGTGAGATACAAGGAGACGTCATGGGGTGATAACAGAGCAGAACTGGCAGTGCCGGCCAGTGCAAAAATACCTGCTGTTACCCGCTCTGGGCTGGAAGGTAATCTGTCCATCCTCTTTACGTTGCTTCACTGCAACTATCAGAGACCCCGCGATGTCTCTACTGCAACTTAGAGACCCCGCGATGTCCCTAAGGGAGGGCCTGACACTCAAGGTGCATGGGGTGCAGATTTGCAGAATCCTGGTCACAGCAGCGTGGGACAAGAACCCAGCACCACACAAGGCAGCGGAGGTGCGGGTGCGAGGTTGTACCTGCTGGGTCAGTGGGACCGCTGCCAGCCATTGATGCTGCTCAGGAGGGTCTGAGCTGGAGGGAACCCAGGGCAGGAGATGGGAGGACCTTGGGTCCCCACGCTTGGAAATGCTACCCAACCCTCAGTCAGCTAGACCATCACCCACCAACCCACTCCACTTCTTCTGCCAACTGTATTGCCCTTCGGTGTTTTATCCCGCGCTGACGTATTTGACATGTCCTGAGGTTAGGCTGCGCTGCCTTAATTGTAAAGTCACTGTTCCGGCTATCTGCATATTATTTACAAAACAGCTCATTAGATATTTTTTATGAATATTACATGGGGCTACACAAGACTTCGTGATGATGTCTCTCGACATCTGTTTATTTTATAGGAGATCACAGAGCTTCCTGCTATTCCGCCTGGCCTTGAAAGGAAGCTTCAGCACTCTGACGGAACTCAGTGCCAATTAAGACTCAATTAGAGACAGATGAATATTTCATAATGAATAATGTGTACAAAGTAATTCACCTCTTTTCTCCATGCACAGCATGCAATTTTCTCAAGTGAATTCTTTATTCAAGTTATTCAGAGACCCAAGTATAAATAATTCTTGTTCTGCACACTTTTCAGTAACTGTTACCACAAACCTTCCAGAGCTGGGTCAGCTGGACACAAGCAATTGATAACAATGCCGTGCCCTGTATGTTAAAAAAATCATCTCTCAGCTTCCCCAGATCATCAGAGATGTGTAAATCTCCAGATAAATAAATGCTGGATCCTTTTAATTTTCCCTCTTTGTTCTGACTCCTTAAGGACATTTGAATTTAATTTTCAAGCTTTTCTCTGCAACATAAACGAAAGCTGAAACTTTCATCTAATTACATTTCCCCATCTCCAAGGAAAATACCAAATACCAAGATGCTTAGGATCAAAGCACGAGCCAATGACCCTGAGGTGAGTGAGTTTCTTCTCTAACTGGTTCAGCAAAACTCTCCAGCGAACATTCGTACCAAAAATTCGTAATTACATTCTGCTTTGGTACATTTGCTGAAGGAGCCACTCAGAATTTGCTCGCTCTGTCTCCCAGTGACACCTCCGCTGCGTTATTCACTGCGGAGGCACATGAGGAGTGGAAATATGTCATAGGAGTGAGCAAGTCCCGCAGATATTTTCTACTTGCTCAGCTTTATCTTCAAGCCTGTCATCCGGTGATCAAGGCTCTCCAAAGTTTGCTGTTGTCAGGAAAGATTTGGGGAGGTTGGGGTTTTTTTTTCTAGGCTATGGAAAAAAAATCACTTACCTGAGAAGAGAGAGAGCAGCAGCAGGCTGAGAAGCACTAAGGTACCTGTTGCCTTCATGCTGCAGGTAGCTCTTTAGTCCAAGCCAAGTGATCCGTGCGGGAGGTGTCGTCTCAGCACCGGAGCCCACAGTGCGCACACAGACCTGCCTTTCTGTGTATTTATGCGCCCATCTGTAGCTGTCCTCATTCCTCACCTTAATTGTGAGAACTTCACTTCGCTCCTAAAGCCATTATTGGTCCTGGCCGTGTTTATGGTGCTTTAGGAATGCTGCCCTGTCCACATCAAACCTAGAAAGGGCTAATTACATGAGTGATAGACTCGGGCTTGTAATATCTTTTTTTTTTTTTTTTTTTTCTAAATAGTCACAGGATTCTCACAAGGGTGAATTTTCAAAGCAGTGATTCATCGGGGAAGCTGGTAATTTTCATTCTCTGGGCCCTCGCTGAATGCCAGCTCCAAGGTTTTGAGTGCGGCGTGATGACACGCACTAGACGTTACGAAATAAATCACAGCATGAGGATGTGTTGTCTGTGAAACCAATTATACGTTGTTCCCTGGCTATTTTTGAGGATGGTTCTAAATTTGTTGGGTTGGGGTGGAGAAGCGCTCCGATGTGACATGCTCTCATAGCTGTGTGCACAGTCCCAGATAGGACTGCTGACTCTCCTCCCTGAACTATTTAAACTCTAGCTGTCAATGTTTTCCAGTTTTTCACATTCACAAACATATGTTAGGGCTCTGCTCCCACAGCAAGTGGCAATGAAGGGAATTTGGTGAGGAATTGGGAGACCAGAGCTCTATTTCCAGCTGAGTCTGTGCAAGGGTTTGTGTTCAGCTGCACCATTTGCAAAATATCTGTTCTGATAAGAAAAAGTTTGAAATTTTAGTATGCTTTCCTAAGGAGACAAGACTTAGGAAAGCCATATGTACAGATACATCTGTATATTAGTTTCGCTAGTAAATTTTTAATCTGCAACTAGTTCCAACCAAATCTGACATAGGAATGAAAAAAATTAAAAACAAACAAACAAACAAGAAATCTTAATACATTTTTGTAGCAACAGAGGAACAATGCTACTAACACCCTCAGCCAGCAAGGGAGAGAGTTTTTTGCAGGAGAGCAACGTTAGGAATGCCCTACATCTGGGGAAGTGTTAGTTTGCAGCTAGCTAGACATCTTAAAATCCACACAGCAGAGAAACCGTGACTGACAGGTGAATTCTCAGATGTCTATTAAGGGTGAGCTCATGACGCAGCCTCTCATATAATTTAGTTATCAAGTCAGTCAGCCGCAGAGCCGTTCAAAATCACACTTCATTCTGCCACTCGCAGCACTATTTATTTGCCTTTTCTCGTTCCATACGTCACTGCTCACGACCACAGCCTTAATGCCTCAGCCCTTTATCTACCCAAACGTTTCGGTTGCTGCAGCGTAACTGACTGGCTGAAGCCTTGACAAACATACTGCAGGGACCAATCCCTTCCGGGCCAAGGAGAGGAAGAGACTAAATTACCAACCAGGTGATTATGATTATTACCCCTTTCCACTGCTTTGTAACATCTGAGACAGACCACTTGCTGGCATAGGTGAGGGAACTCTTTTGTCCCTTTGACTTCTCTGAAAATCAGGGATAGAAGAAAAGCACTTGGACCTTGCTTTGCATTCTAAGGGTTATAGTTAGGCGGAGTCTTGCGGGTGTCAAGCCAAATGCTTACCTTACTTGCGTTGGGCCAGTCTTTAGTCTTAGATGATACAAACCTTTCCATTTTCTAAAGAGTTCTTGCTTACATGAGGCATCTGGGATACAGCCATATACCCAGTACTTGCCATCCGCCTTTCCCTGTAGGTGAGCAGCTCTTCTTTGGGCTTTCCCAAAGCATTCTGAGCTCCTAAGTGAGTATCTGGCTTCCTCAGGAAGAAACTACCACTGCATAGGGTTCCCTAGGATCTTCCTGCTATGGCCAAAACTCTGCTGGTGTGTGGCCACTCTATAAACCCCTTGGCCAACAAGAAATTATACCGAGCTCTGTCCTGTGCTGACAGGTCTCTGTTCACATCCACTAGCTACTTAGACTGTTCCTTAATTATTTTCCACACATACACAAGCGGGTAAACAGTGAGTACTCTCATGATTCTCCAGTTTGCCTTTTCTTAAGAGCAGACACAGAGGCATGATATGATTAATATCCTTCAATATCCTTGTACTAACAGAAAAAAAAAATGAAAATAAGAAGTTCCATCCCACTTCCTAGGACAGAGCATTGCTCTGTGCTAGTACTAGCTTCTTATCTTCTGCTGGAAAGCACCCACAGGATTCCTGGTCAAGAAATAATCTACTTCAGGAAATAAAACCCAAATAAAGGTCTTGCAAGACACAGATTTTGTCCTAAATATCAGCTTTAGCAGCAGATATTCTTGCTACATAACAAGAGAATGGGAGGTGGAGAAAAGAAGCGGAAGGGAGTGCATGAGTCGTGGCACTTGGGACTTTTTGCCTGTGCTGTTTGCATATTAACTCATTGACTCACCCAAAGAGATAGCACATCATCATGAACATTCATATGTATCATTGCTCCTCCAGTGCACTCTTTAGGCTACCTCAAAGATGTTATCTCCATACCTTTTTTCCCAAGGTAGAAAATATCCTGGAGCTACCAGCACATCTTCTGGCCCTTCTTTCCTGGGATTAGAAAATCCAAGACCTTTTCCTTAAGTGTCCCCTATCCTACCTTTGCCTCAAATATCCAAAATACAACTTTTCAGACCTCTTCTCCAAGAAGCTGAAAGCCTGAGCCCAGACTAATTTCTCCTTGGGTTCTCATTAGGCTCATTACAGCCTTGCCTAGCTTGCTGCAATTTACTGCTGATCAACCCAGTCTCGATGGACACACCCTTCAAGGAAGCAGCAGTTCCTAATTTTCTCCTCTATGACATAGCCTCCTCCCTTTGCTATAAGCCTCCTCTTTATAACACACTGGCAGACCTGCTGCTTGCCACCTGTGACCAAGTATGGGTGACCACAGCCACCTTTCTCTTTCACACTTCCCCAGGGTCATCCCCCCATGACAGGACCCCTAAAAGGACCAGTTCCTCCAAGACTCAGTGCTGTTAAAAAGGCAAATCCATTTACGCGCTATAAGAAACCGAAATGAGGAAAGTGGCAGTATTTTATAGCAGCTTGGTTTCTCTTCTGATGGTTTGGTATGGGGTGACGTACTGTCATGAGGGCTTGGGCTGGTGTGTGATGGGCGTTACGCTTTGCTCTTTATTGTGGTTTATTTCACAACTTCTCCTGCCTGACAGATAAGTACCTAAAAGACTGAAGACCATTACCCCTGCCCTGAAAGAAAAAAAAAAACCAACAGAAACCAGTCCATGGCAAAGAGAGTGGTTGCGTTTTGTTTATTGATCAATCAAAGCAAAGACCAAGGCGCAACAGTCAAGGAAGCAGGGAAGAGCATGTTTGATTGCGGGATTTTAAGGGAAAAATCAGGGCAAAGGGTCCGTCTCCAGTGCTCAGCATTCACCCTGGTGTCTGAGGAACAGACTTCCCCGGCTCCGCCTAAAGAGAAAGAGGGAGACCAAAATTACAGACAAGGATCTCGGTTTTATAGCCAAATTTTACCCAAATAAGCCAATGCTTTCATGCTCTCCAAGTTATAAAGTATTTCCCTTAATGCTTCACTTCTTCCCTGATTCCCCAGGTCACGCGCTTTTTCATGTGAAAAAGATTTGGGACAAACCCCGTAATTTTGGACACCTCCTACAGTCACATTTTAAATCACTCTGGCAGGGAGGGAGTCAGCAACACTATGAGCCTGCAAACGGGGATCTGGATTTAATTGCAAGGGAAGGAGAAGACTCACAAGGGCTTAAGATCTCCAGTGCCTGGGGGTGACAGAGCAGTGAGTGTCAAGAGAGGGACCTGGATCAGGGATGGATTGACCGAGGGGCTAAAGGGAGCTCTGGGGCTTCCACACCATCTGCCGCCACTGCATGTGCGCTCCAGCTCCTCTGCTTTCATGGCTAATGCGGTGATCCCCATACTTACGAAACAGCGCTGCAGAACTGGCATTTGTTTCCGTAGGTTTTGCCATCGGAGCCGCAAATGGGATTATAGTCGAGGGTGCAGGCGAGATTGCTGCCCTTCTGTTCATTGCAATCGATGTGCTAATAATGGAGCAACAACAGGTTTTAAAGCTTTTGTTCCCTGTATTTTCCTTCATGAGTGTTTTACGTTTATGTAACGTCTATTACATGGCAGAGCATAAAAGTACTTTTCAGGTGCAGGGCTCTGTTCTAGCAACTCTGCAAACTCAGAGGAAGTGCTTGCCTGGAGCAGCCTGAAGCAGGGAGAAGGCGGAAGGGGAAAAATCTAATAAATATTATTACAAATAGTGAAAGGACCATGCTGGTATTTCCAGGCTGGCCTTCCCACTGTCTGGTCTGCTCTGGTTCCGCAGGCTACCAGAGACAATGGTACAGAAAATGGGTGGTCGCAATCCACACTGTAGAAAGTACTCCCACCCAAGGAATCACCACTACAAATAGTGCTGGTAATATAGCACCATCCTGCTCTCCAGCAGAAGGGATGAGGCAGCATCTCTTGCTCAACCCTGCTGACTGCTGTGCTCCTTGGTCAGAGGGGGGACTGCGTATCTGAATCATGGATTTGGTTCAATACCCTTTGACCCTGCCATAATTCAGCTATTTTCTTCAAATCCTATTTCCAGGCCAAATGCACCAGGACAGTGCAGGCATGTCTATTATTTAGAAATAATTATAATTATGATTCAGTGAATTTGTGTTGTAAAATGTAACAGGAGTTAAGAGTGCAGCACGCTTTACCTGGTTACATTCTCCATTTCTGAGCACATTTACGTCCAGTCCATTCCTTTGGGAAGAAAGAGAGTTGAGAATGAATGAGCACAGCGCAGCCACTTCGCAAGTCAACCTACCCCGTTACGGTCTGAGTACCAACACGAGACCTACTGATCCAGAAACCCTTCCTGTGACCCAGCCCCTTCACTTACACAACGGCGCTGCAGAAGCTGCACTTGTTTCTGTAGGTAATTCCGTTGGTACCGCAGATGGGATTGTACTCCAAGGTGCAGGGGACCGCAGCGCCGTTGACCGATCTTCTGTAGTTGCTGCAGTCGATCTGAAACAGTCACAGAACAACATTTTAATCTCTGCTCCCCTTTGCATCAGTCCTGTGTAAATGGAGCATGGCATAGGAGGCATCTCCACCTCTCCCCAGAGCTGTAAAGGGAGAGGAGCTTCCATCCCCAGCGTGGTGGAGTTGGAAGAGCATGAACAGTTAGAGTCCTACACGTGGGTACAGCATGATCCTGGACCATCTGTTTTTTCCTGTCCTGAAATGGGCTTCATCCCTATCTTCTTGGGGATTTTCACTGCCAACGCCACCATGAAGGATCTTTACCTAAAACGCCTTATGTGGCAGCAACTTTTGCTGAGAAATGCTGATGCCACTTGAAAACAGAGTTTACGCTCAACTTGGTGTTTCTGCAATTACTCTGAGTGTACCAAAATGGAAGTAGTTGTATTATGTTAAACTGCGCAGCCAGTGTGTTTCTTTTTTTTTCCTCTGAACTAAAAATAGAGATACTTCTCTACTTCATGGTAGCTCCGTATATTGATAAACAAACTTTATGATAAACGTTCTGATAGAATCATTTTTTATGTTAGAAAATTACGATTTAACCAAAATCCAAACTTCCTCTGGGAATTTCTTTGCTTCAATAAGCCTCTAAGTCTAAAGAGAAGTGTTTTGATAATGCTGAAGCATTATTGAAATAAAAAATTTCCATTCTAAAGTCTGTTGTTGCACACAAGGTAGCATTTTAAAACCCACTGATTTTAGCTGTTCAAACAAAATTTAAAAGAAATTCTGGCAAATCTGAAATTCTTAATTTTCATTCCATGTCTGACAGTTTGAAACTGTGTGTTTTTAATACAGAATTAATCCTAGGTGAGAATTCTGTCTAGTTTTTTGACATCACTTCACCCACCACTGCTCAGCACAGCAGAAACCAGCCTCAGACCTCACCTTAACGCATCTTCCGTCGTGCTTCTTGTCGATGGCTCGGTTACGTCTAGAGGGAGAGAGAGAGAAGGAAAGGAAGGATTAATCTGTTGATACCATATAGTCATCTCACTCACTGTCTCCATTCGTAAAGCCCCAGTAATTAATCAGAAGCAGGAGCTTTGACACGGAAGATCGTGGCCATTAGAGAAGACAGAAACTTATGAAAAATCTAGTCCATCCCCCGATTAGTCACAGCCCCAAAAGCTTTCGTCTGCTGCTTGAACTGGCATTGTAGGTAACCGGTAGACCTTATACTCACAGGATTTCTTTGCAGAGGGTGCACTCGTTGGGGTAGGTCACGTCGTCGGTCCCGCAGACGGGTTCGTAGTTGCGGGGACAGACAGCCTGCGTTTTTCCACTCAACAGGAACATGCCGCAGGAGGCCTGTTAAAAGGGGCTTGTAATGTCTCCAGGTGGAGAAGGGTGTGCTTGTGGTAATCCTGCTTTCACTGCACTGGGCGACTACTGCTGATTATTTTATTTCTCTACCGTTCCTCCATGGTGACAAAGAGAGGGAACAAGCTATACTGTGTTTCTTACAGCATGCAAAAGCACCTTTTCGCTATTAAGACTTCCAGTACTTTCGGCAAGCATTGAGAGAAAAAATGATCATTCCTTGGGGAATCAAGACAGGGAAGATATTTAGGCAGTTATTCAATAGTCGTATAGATTTTCTGCTGGCACTCTGTGCTGTGCTGACTCTCACTCTGCATTAATAATTGCTATCTCTTTTATCATCAACATGGTAATTTATCCTTCTCTGACAAAGATATTTTCTTATTTTTGGGGAAAAGAGGTGGTATAATATTTAAGGGCGTTTTTCCATCTACCTTTGTTGCTCACTCTCTTTATTTTTTCCTCTCTCAAGCCTTCCCTGGGAAACTCTGTGAGTATTCATCTAGACTGAGAATTCAAGACTAAATGACAGAGAAGATCTACTCACCCGTCGTTGAGCAACAGCAATATCTAAAATAAAAACAGAGATAAAATATAAAAATTGCACAGTGTCCTTGGCTAAAATTCCTTTGGAATCATCATTTTCTCAACAGAGTAACCAAATACACTTTCTTTTCACTGAGAAGTGATTATTTTCCCAAATGTTATATCTACTCCAAGTAAACGAGAAGTTATATGCTAGGATTAACAAACTCAGTTATTGGTGAAACCAGAAATTTTGACTCACTAAAGAAGAAATAGGACATAAACTTTCCTTCTTTTGCAGCCCTATTATACCCACTAAGGCTCACAAGTTTAAATCAGGCAAATGCGTCCTACCGATCTATAGCAGTTATCTGCACAAGGATGAAGTTCATCGAAATAGAGCTCGCATATTACTAAATCATCACATCTCCAAAAGGCTGAACTCTCCTCTTGGATGTAATATAAAGGCAAAGGTTCAGAAAGAGTACAGATACTGGCATAGACTGTAGCAAAAACAACTTACCAGAAAGGCAGCTGAGAAGCACAAGCCCAAGAAGGGCAACGCTTCTTGTTGTCTTCATAGCGGAGATGGTTGTAGAGTCTGTTAGTTGCAAATCTGTTGCCGTTGAGTTCAGTAGATGGTTCTCAGCCTTCTCTCCCTGCGCTATATATACATACATCTCCCTGACCTTATGAAGTCATCCCATAAAATAATTATTTGCTCTGTAAACTAAGAAAGTTGTATTGATTATTGAGTTGAGCTCTAAAGAATTCTTGTTTGTCAGACAGATGCCCAGAAAAATTAAATAAAACTGAGCTACACCCAGCTTGTTAACAAAGGCGCCCTGCTGTACAATGAGTGATTTGTACTTTTCAATAAAGAGCACTATCTTAGTTGTAGATGTTGTGAAATTACGCATGAAAGATGGCAAAGCAAAAAGAAAGCCCAGTTGTTGAAAGTGTTTAAACTTGTGCACACCATATTAAATACACTAGATGGTATTTGGGCTCCAGGAGAGTTGCATGGCATACCAGGGTGGGGGGGGGGACGACCGCAGCATGGGACACTAAGCTTCTACAGACATAAAATCTGGGGTTTGGCAGGCATCAGCGTATTTTAAAGATGCTCAGGGCTCAATGAATCTCTCCATACTCTCTCCTGTAGTTTCCTGGTATGCTGAACTTCTCATCAACAGGAAGGAAACAGTCATCACAACAGGAAAACATTAACTAAAATTCAGAAATTTACAAGACATTTCTCTGTAAGACTTATGCATCTGTTGGCAGTGGGCATGAATCTGAATAAGAAATGATGAGACTAAGTGGCCTTAAATCTGGACTGAGATAATGTTTCCTCTTAATGGCAAGTGGTGCTCTGTGCAGGTAAAATTGGCTTCTTCATACCAAGGACATTCAAGAAAAGTTTGCAGCAGCTGCAAACGGAAGGTGAGTCCTTAGGCTCGTCCCTTCCCCCCTCCATTATATGGCATTAAATTTAGAGTGCCAGCTGAAAGTCATGTTTTAGGGAAGATAAGTGAAGAATAATGTGCTAGGCTCTGTTAAGTGGTTCAACTCTATCGCAAGTGCATGGAAAAACAAATAAGGAATATTGAATAAAATAATACATTTTTTATTTAAGGTAGTCATAGAAGGAAGTGAGGGACGGAGCGTGTTTGTGCTTTAGAAGAAGTTTGATTCGTACATGTGGCTTAAAGGCAGGCTTAGTTTTAAATTTAAAAATCAGAATTGTTTTTCTTATGGGAGATGTTCATCATGTTTTCATCTGGGAGACGTTCAAGTCTTGGCATGGGCAGATAAATCATAAAAATATAGCTGAAAGTGTATGGGAACTACAGTCACAGAATGGAGCTTGCAGGATTTGGCCTGTTCATATCAATGAAATAATTTTCCTGAAAAATAAATGAGTAATGCTATTTGGATCTCGTTCACAAATATCAGAAGTTGAAGGGTTCCTTTGAAAGCTGTTTCTGTTGTATTCTCAGTATCCTGAGTAACTTGACTTTCAGATTCCTTGAACTGATTGTGAGCATATTTGGAAGGGAAGCAGTAATCGCAGAAGCATTAATGCTGATTATTCTCCAAGGGCAAGAATGCTGAAAACTGAAAAGAAGGCTTCCTCAGAACCTGCACCAGCCGCCGGTGGAGATGGCACTGGCTGGCTCTATGGTGCTTAGTGAGGCTACAGGAACGAGGCCTGTCTCCTCTCCCGCCCAGCAATCTGAGCTTCCCCATATCCACCTCCAGATCGGAGATCTCCAGTTACCAGAAACTATTGCTTTACTGGTTTCCCCTCCTGCCAGGAGGAAATCCCACTGGTCGCTCAGCAGGAGCTGTTGTGAATGGCAGGATACCTGCTAAGGATCAGCATCATTCTCACATTTGACCAATACCTGCCCTTTTATTAATTAGATCCCTTGGGGAGATCCCCCTCTGACCTGCATGCTGCTTCTGAGGGTGTGGGTCACCAGCCAGAAGTGCTCCGAAAGCAGCTCTTTTCCTCCAGTAATCCCTGCTGCTTCACAGGGCAGCAAGGAGAGAAAGAGAAGCCAGGAAAGACTCTTGCTACAGGTCCTGTGAGAAAGGATGGGAGATAATTAGCAGCAGCCAAGGGCAGGGCCGTGCGAGCTGCTGGAAGAGGTGTGATGTGGGATTGCTCAAGGAGCTCCATTAATAAGAAACAGGGGCCATGGGACAGAAATAATTGCGGGGCAGCATGTGGTCTGAAAGCAGGCATTAGGAGCAGTGAAAAACAGCTGTCTCCATGCATTTGGAAGAGTAAGCTTTGGGAAATGTCATACACATGTTGCAAATGGGAAGGGCAAAATGAATTCACCTGCCAAAACCCCTCTGTGATGTTCAAGAGTCTCACGATGGTGGGCTTAGTAAAGTGTCTTTGGCCATTGGATTATTTTAACATTTCTACAGATATGAGAACCACAGAAAAGTTTAAATAAAACTCTTTCTGCTATTTCAAGTTCTTAGAGGGCAAACTTTCAAGGTTATGGCCACGAGTGGGAAAAAACATTGGTAGTCATATGATGGATCCTCTTGTTTTAACGTAGATTTCCAATAACTCTGGATATTCTACCCATTTTGTACCCCAGCATTATTTCTTCCCATAACAATAATATTTTCCTGGAAATCTTTTCCTCTGCTCTTGAGATTCCCTATCTCAAACACATCCATAATCTACCACAACCTAAAATATTCTATATTTATTTTCCCTGTTTAGTTTAAAACTTTTCACAGGCTTCATCTGGCTACAAAGAGAAACAATACTTAATTTTTTTTGAAAATAAAAAAGGTGGATGTGTGCATGCGTCCACCAACATGGACTTGGATAACACCAAGACCGTGTGGTGTTATCCGGCAGCGGTATCCCTGTCCTGCTCCCATATCCTGCACCACACCATAATCAAGAATAAAGTGGTACTGTGCTCCTGTCTGTGCTAACGTAGGGACAAATGCAAAATGCATTTCTTGGCCATCGATGAGCGATGTGGCACACTGCAAGAGCTCACAAAATGCTCTTCCCAGAGCTCTGCACATGGGGGCAGAACTGGATCTGCTATGAGAACGTGAATTCAATTATAGCAAGCAAAACCCCCTGCTCTAAGCCGCACTCATGTAATATTTCTCCTTGCAGTTCAGCTATCTGACTGCTGCCTGCATATCTCCAGTCGTTTAAGTATAGATGATATCACAGGCAAGGGTGTCTGGAAGGATTTGACTGTCTGGGAGCTGCATACTAACAGCAAAAGCCTGAGGATCTGGCCCTGCACAACCCAGTCCCTCCGCAAACCTCAGCTCTGCCCCCCCGCAATAGCTCTGACACAACCAGCCCCCAGAAACGATGTTTCCAAGTAATTTTCTTTTAAAACATCATTTTATTTTTCTCTGCATCAAGAAAGAATGTAGTAATAAACTGTTTATCCTGAATGAAGCCTCAGAGAGAAACTGCATTAACAGAAAGGTCTAGACTGGCCTGAGGTATATTTTGGCCAGCAACAAGTAGAATAATACACTACAACAGAAGCATTGATATAAAATAGAGCAGAACAAAATAACTACATGCAATGTGTTAATCAGGTTGTGGGGTAATTGAATGGCATTTCCTAAATTCACAAACATCAGATAATGACATAAAGTGCTGAGGTACTGCTTAAAGAATTGTACCATAAAATACCTCGGCAGGCAGACAATGTTTCCTGCCTTGAATTTCCTGGAGGGAGAGTTAGATTAGTAATGGTGAGAGGATTTTGTGTTGTTGTGTCAGGATTTTATTGAGCAGCAACAAAAAAATTATTTCCAACAAAGTGCCCATAAAAGAGGACTGTCTTCATCTCCATCTTAAGGCTTTGCCCCCCTGGGGCTGGGGGTTATGGATGTCGTGGGTTCCTGCCCTGCCCTCAGTTCGTCCTGTGTTACACTGCATAACTCTGCATCAGGGAGGAGGATTTGTCGTTTCTGCTCACAGTTTCCCCTCAATTGCTTGGTGTCCAGTTTAGTGGACACGGCCCCTGGAAGATGCCTTCTGAGGACCGCTGGGATCTTGAGCGTGACTGGGAGCTCCGCTTGTCTCCAAGGCATCACGGCTCCTAGGGGTCATCCTCATCCTCTCTGCTGCTCCCCAGGAAAGAAAATAAGTGCTGGAGCTCATGTTCTCTTACGCCTGACTCCCTCACTCTGTGGAGGAGGCCAAGAGCAGCATGAAGCCCCTGAGCTGCACACCCTCAGTACTACCTCCCAAAGCCTCAATTTGTCTTGGTCCTAAGAAATTGCCTCTGACAATGAAATGCCTCCCTGCACACAGACCTCCCTCTCACAGGACGGACGCTCCAGCCCTGGGAAGGGACTTGGCACTAAATGGTTGCAGAGACTCATGTCTTTTGGAAATAAATAGTCTCCCTTCAGAGCGCTGCTCTCTCCAGTCTCTGGAAAGTGACACATTGTCACTTAAGATCATTAACTATTTGACTGTGAGACTGCTGCCTGTACGGCACACCACACTGCCAGCACTTCGCTGTTAATGAATAATAAATTAACGCTATGACTCCAAGCCCTTCCTTTCATCAGCTGAGATTTTCAGAGGCCGAAGAATCTCCAAGGACCCTCTACAAGGGACAGTCAACGTAATTACCTATAAGCAGCAGCTAAGTGGTGGGTGAGGTGTCGAAACGGGCTGTGGTAGCAGTTGCTAGCAGTCCTCTGAACACCAGGTTTGTTAGGACTGGCTGCCCACTGGTTTTCTGCAATACCCCGCATCAATGAAGGTTGCAAATGCGAACGTGGGCAGCCAGCTATCTGCCTGTCCCGGGAAAACACCCTGTCCCATTGCTCTGGGAGGCAGAGTGGATTGCACAGGGGCTTCTGTCACCTAAAGGTGGGTTTCCAACACTGCTGGCAAGGGGAGGAGATGCAGCTGGGAAGCTGACCTCCACCACTTCTCTTGCGGGCATAAGAAATCAGGGCTAACCCTGGGAACTGAAGCAGGGATGAGCAGCTCCGGGTGCCAGCAAGACCCTCTGCTGTGCCTCCATGGCTTTTGCAGAGCAGCCAC